TGGCCCATGAGTAATCTGTTTTTGAGCATGTTGTAAACTGATTTTAGGCTTATTTTGATCCCCTCTTCAACATTGGAGAAGGGCTCAACATTGTTTGGTGCTTTCATGTGTCACTTGTAGTTATATCCCTTATTTGGCCCCATTTTTTCATAAATTGGCAACCCCCTTTACTTCTGTTTTTGGACCTTGGTCCGAATTGAAAGTGGTCTTATTTTGGCCTATAATTCATGTTTCATTAACATTTTTTTTCTGTTTGGTGATTATTTTGTATACTTCATGTTATAGCCATTTTTGAGTCTTATTTTGCATCACATTTCTATCATGTTTGTATACTGATTTTGAGGCTTCCATGTACTGTAAATGTTCATATTTTTGGTCCCTCTTTAGTGTTGTAGAAGGAAATTTTTCATTTTGGGTTTTGTTTATATCACTTGCTTCATTACCCCTCTTTTGGCCCCTATTCTGGCATGCTATTTTTGCCATACCTATGCTTGCTGTTTGGCCATGTTTATAACTGTGAAAGTGCCTATTTTGGGACTGTCTAGCTTCTGTCTTTGCATTGCATGTCCATATTGTGCATGTTTGACATAGCTATAGGCCATTTCGGGTGCCTAAATTCGCATTTCGGGACATTTCCTTGCATTTCATGTCATTTCGCTTCATTTCGGGACTGTTTTCCCCCATATTTTGTTGCTGAAATTCTGTTAGAATGCTTGCATATCATTTTTGCCATGTTGCATCACATTTTATCATCGCCTCGGTTTGCGTGCCCGTGTGCACGCATTTCGAGGCACTCCATTTTCATTCACCGGCATCTGATGTGAGTGTGGCTGAGGCTCACTCATATTGGTATAAGCCCATTTGTCATTTTCATGTCATTTTATCACATTCTGTCATCGCCTCGGTTTACGTGCCCGAGTGCACGCATTTCGAGGCACTCCATTTTCATTCACCGGCATCCGATGTGAGTGTGGCTGAGGCTCACTCATATTGGTATAAGCCCATTTGTCATTTTCATGTCATTTCATTGCATTCTGCCCATTTTCTCGGTTTGCGTACCCGAGTGCACACACTTCGAGGCATCTCATTTTCATAGCATTGTGTATGTTAGGATTATATCTTAGTTGCATTTCATGCATATCATGCATATTGCATCGTGTTCGGAATAGGAGTTAGCCCGGGCACGGGAAACGAGGTACATTTCGTACTCCGAGTGACGGAATGTGTCTCAATTCCCCAGTCACCGACACTCCGGATTATCCATGATGGAGTTAGGTTAGGGCATATTTTAATTAGCATACAGTATGACAGCATGTTTGCATCATTCATCTGTATTGCATGCACCGGGCTCGGCGCATCATACTAACTGCATTGTACCTTCAATTCCCAAATTGAATACATGTTAGTTGTAGCATTCCATATGCCATGTTTAGAATAGCCGAGCCTGCTATAGTTCGCATTCTTGCATATGTTGCATTAGGCATTTTTGTATACTTAGGATTCATGCATGGATTTCTAATAAATGTCTGTTTTGGCTTGGAGTACCCGGTAAGTTTTATGCTTTAGTATCCTTGCATGCGTGTGAGTGCTGCCATGAATAGCATGCTTACCATGAGGCTAATTGCTTATGTGATATAACTGCCTGAATGCCTGTGGGTGAAGGTTGAGTTAGTTGGATTGGAACAAATCATTGACTGTGAGTCTTAAGCCCACTAGATAGTGGCAAAAACATCTTTTCCTAAGCCCACCTGAGGGTGGCAAAATCTGCATTTCAAGCCTACCTGCGGGTAGCAAAACCTCTTTCAAAAAAGGCAAACATGAAATGTTTTGTTCCAATTCGGGTGACCTGGTCTATACTTGTATGCTGTGCGCATCACATAGTAACCTAGGCTAATAACCGGAATAAGAACTCGCAATGTTTTCAAAAATTGATATCATGGTTAGTAGAGGCCGGTCTATGACCGGGCGAGCGGGGGTGCTCACGAAGTGACCTTCCCCAATCGTACCCAAGTTCCCGAGCCGAGGCAACTTTGGTGATGACGGACACGTGGCCTTTTGGCACCGAGTCAGGGTTTCCTAAATTTCCCAAAAATAAAATATTTAGGTGGCGACTCTGTATCTGGCAAAGCAGTCCATGTTTGGCACTTCTTTCAAAAAATCTATTTTTTTTAAAACGATTTGCCGGATTTGGACTCTTTGGTTCAGACTTAGAACCGTGACTTACAAAGTCGAGTCCGAGCTGTAGCGAGGTCCCCCGCGGGCTTGTTACAAAACCCTACGCTCAAAAGCAATGGCACGGTTCTCTCTTTTGGCCCAGAAGCACCACTTTGTGAATCCATGGCTTCTGTCTTAAATCTTGTTGAGAAACAAAAGGCTCCTAATGGAATCCCCAATGGGTTTTATAAAGTTGAACAAAATGGCGATGATTATTCTAGCGGATCATCTGTCACAACTTCAAATTCGACAGAGGAAGGAGTGAGAAACGGGATTCAAGAGCCAATGATGGGGAATTTAAATGGCTTCACTTCCCAAATCCCTTGCCTCCTTGGCATTCCATGGCCTTATTGGAATTCAGCTGCTCCTATACCAGCTGTTTGCTTGTTTGGATTTCCAATGCCATTCTATGCCACCCCCTATTGGACAGTTCCATGGTTGCCTTCACCATCTCCTACAACAAACCAAAACATGCCAAGCTCTGCTCCAAACCAAAATTCACCGACTCTAGGGAAACATTCGAGAGATGGAGACTTGATTAAGAAAAATTCAGAGACATCCATTTTGATTCCAAAAACTACAAGGATTGATGACCCTGATGAAGCTGGAAGGAGTTCTATATGGGCAACACTTGGGATTAAGAGTGATTCTTCAATGATGAGCAGAGGAGGCCTTTTCAAGGCCTTCCAACCAAAGGGTGGCGAAAAGAATCACACACCAGAAACCAATTTAGTGCTGTGGGCTAACCCTGCAGCCTTGTCTAGGTCGCTCAGGTTCCAAGAACGGTCCTAAAGTAGATAGTGTTACCATTACATCTAATATTTGTTCTCCAAAGTGGCATTTGGGAGAGAAATATTGGGTGTTTGAGATCATATTGATTCACAGCCTTGTTGAAGCATATGCAACACTTTGAACTGATCAGAGTGGAAAGATGAAGAAAAGGTTCCTCAATGATGGTTTTTTACTTGTAAAATTTAGAACAGGTGCCTTCGTTTTTAGGGGCAATTGCAAAAAAGTGGAAACTAACTCAAAATCATGTTACTTTTAAAGAGGTATAAGTGAGAGTTGTGTCTCATGTCATAACTTTCACTTGCAACAGACACAGACCCTGCACCTCCATGAAAGTTACAGTTATTTTGAATTGTTTTCACTGATTTGTAATTCCGCTCGTTTTTATTTTGTATTTTTATTTCATGAGTGTGAGCAGATGTACATATCTATATATGTAAATACTGACATTAGGAGAGAGAGTGGAAGTAGTTTAGATGCACGAAAATCCCAGAAGTCAAATGTTGTAACTGTTAAACTCAATCCAGAAAGTGACTTGAATAATGGCAATGCAGTTCTTCTATCTTCAGAGATTTTCATTACATTTCTTGGTTTATCAGAAACTAGTATTTCTTAAGATTTTCTACATAGACTTCATCAAGAATCCAAGATTTGAGCAAGTGCGAAAGCTAAGGCACAAATGGTGATTCTATCTTTCAAAATGACGCAATAAATTATGTAACAAAGGGGATCAAAATGTATGGGTAAAAGTACACCTTTAAGAATTTTAAGTGCCAAAATTATGACGCAAATGGCGATAATAAATATTAACAAAAGAAGAGAAGGGTTTGAAGATTTTATTTATTTATTTTTAATTATATATTTACAAATGGTGATTCTATCTCTCAAAATAACGCAATAAATTATGTAACAAAGGGGATCAAAATGTATGGGTAAAAGTACACCTTTAAGAATTTTAAGTGCCAAAATTATGACGCAAATGGCGATAATAAATATTAACAAAAGAAGAGAAGGGTTTGAAGATTTTATTTATTTATTTTTAATTATATATTTTGTGATGGAGATAATAAATATCAACAAAAGAAGAGAAGGGCTTGAAGATTTTATTTATTTATTTTTAATATATATTTTGGGATGATGCCAAGGCTATATGCAACAGTTTTCAAACAGACCTGAAATAAAACAAGAAGAGGGTAGGATCTAGTTTGGACATGTGAAGATATAGTGGCAAATCCAACAGGGTTGAATTTCTTTGAGGGACCCTTTACAGATAAGAAAGTCACAATGGCCATACAACTTTCCCTTTCATACTAAAAAACTTTAACTACAAAGTGAAAAGTTGACACAAATTTCCTCCCATCTTTTTTTCTCTCTCTCAACAATGCATAAAAATAAAAACATATGATGGAGAAATAATAAAATGGCATGTCTTAATTTTGAGTTTTGTAGGCATACTGTTTTTAAAAATTTTATCTACATAATATTTTTACAAATTTCCTCCCAAAACCATTCTACAAACATAAACAAATTTCAATAAACAAATAAAAAATTACAGTCTCATATTAGTTACATGAGTAAAAAATTCAATTACCCACACATCAAATTTCTCACACTCAAGCCAAATTTCAAGTGTATATATATATGAAATCAAAATAACTACCAAAGTAAACAAACATCAAAAACCTAAACCGATTCAAATTATATTTTCCTAATTTTATAAACCAACCTAGTGAGTTCACAATGGTGAAAGGGGCAATTTCAAAGAAGGGGGTTTCAATCTAGGGTTTCATAGAATGGAGATGGAGAAAGGGAGAGAAACAAGTTGCAGAGAGAGAGAGAGAGAGACATGCCTTGAGGCGAAGTCGAGGGCACGTTATGTTTGCGGGATAGTCTTCGAGGGCAAAGAAGAGCTTCGAAGTCGTGTCTGAAAAAAGCCTCTAAAGTCGTGTCTGAAGAAGGCGAAGAGGAGCTTTGGAGTCGTCTCTGAAGAGAGCTCCGGAGTTGTGTCTGAAGAGGGCGAATAGGAGCTTCGGATTGGTCTGAAGAATGGTTTTGGGAAAACAAAGTGAAGAGGGTTTGTGGAACACACAACAATCGGTGAACAAAATTGTAACCGGTTGAGAGGGTATTCAATATTTTTAATCAAATTATTTGATGGTTGAGATTAATTTATAAATATCTAATGGTTTAAAATAAATGTGTACATGATGTGCACTATTTAATAAGGTGCACATCTTAACAGCTCCTTTATATTTTTTCCACATCGGTAAAAATCCAATATTTAAGAATTAGATTATAAAACTTGATAATACTTTAAAGTGCAAAGTGATTTACTGGACGCATACAATCACTTTTATGTACCGCTTAGTTCCAAGTGTATTTCATTCTTTGCAAAATTGAATATGAGATATACAAAAATTATGTCAAAGTGAAGTTAATCATGTTTAAACCCCTTGGCGTGATTTGGACTTAAGGTTTGCAAAAAAAGGGGAGAGGGGAGAGAATTTCAAGGGTAATTTAGTAATTTTATAGATTTTTCTTAACGTTGAGTTAATTTACATTTTTTTCATCATTAATGTAAGGAGAATTTATTAGATCCTCTTTCAAGTATTTATATATCAATTAGTTCATAATATATTCTTATATTTTAACAAGTCCTATTATTTGGGTGTGTTTGTTTGGACGAACTGGATAAGAGGGAAATGTAATCCATCAGACTATTAGTCCCGGGATACATTATCCCCGGACTATGTGGTTGGACTAGATTTGTATCCTATGTTTGTTTACTCATGAGATTATATGTCTGAATTTGACTATTTTTAGTGAATTCAATGTTTAGTTAAACGGACTGGATAAGGATAAATATTCAAAAGACTATTTTACCCGTGTAATTTATAATTTTTATTTAATATATAATTTTAAATTTGTAATCTATAATTTATAATTTAACAATACCAAAAAAATTTAATTTATAAGGCCATAATTTTTAATTTATTATTTTCAATTAAATTAAATTTATAATTTATAATTTATATTTTTTATTTAATATATAATTTTAAATTAACAACACTAAAAAAATAATTTATAAATATTCAAAAGACTATTTTACCATTTTCTAATTATTTACTAAGTAATAACATGGAGGGTAAAATGGACATTTCACAAAATAATCCCATAAGATATCAATCCCATGGTTTCTATCCCACACCCCCCATGGGATAGGATAATCTCACATTTGTGGGACTATTAGTCCGAGGGGACTATTAGTCCGGAAGAAAAATTTCAAACAAACACTGGACTATTAGTCCGGTGGGACTAATAGTCCAATCCCACACCCTAATCCCTCAAAACAAACACACCCTTTAGACATTTGATCTACTAAATCTTAATTATCATATTTAAGGTATTTCATGAATAATTTCACCTTTACAAATATTTTTTGAACCGTTAGCAACCTGATGTGCACTATTTTGGACTATCAAATATGATTTCACTTGAATATGTAATTTATAAAATAAAAATAAATAAATAAATTTGATAGTATGAAGGTTCATATTGATAGTGTAAATATTTCATGATGTAAACATTCACATTAAATAAATTTGATAGTGTAAATATTTACATTGACAGTGTGAATGTTTAATGTCTACTTTACCTTATTATTATTAAGGATATTTTGATAATCATATTACCCATAAAATTTATTGGAATATAAAAAAATAATTTGGATTAAATATAAGTAAGTGAAGAAAGATTTATGAATAAATGTCATTGTTGTAATTCTTTTAGATTCTGCATTAACATCTAATTATTTTGGAAAATTCTACTATACACACCCTTCGAAAGGCGTGTACATGTATCATATGTACCATTCATTATATAATTTTTTTCTTTAGTTATGATCAATTTTTTTTTTCATTATGATATTATTTTAATTATAACTTATGAAATTACCTCATGTAGTGTTTGGTTATAATAATTTTTTTTTTTTTTTATGATTTAGAAACTATGGAGTTATTTCCCAATTATTTTTTGTCCAATCCATTTATTTGCAATTTTCCTTTTTATTTATTGGGTAAATTACACTTACACCCCCTGAGGTTTGAGTTTAATATATATCACTCCTGAGGTTTAAAAAATTACATAAATCCTTTATTATTGTAATTATTTAGACGGAATGAAGACATTGAACTCATCCACTCTCTCTTTTCTTATTTTGCTTTATTTGTTTTTATTTTTTTTCCTTTCTTTTGCTTTATTTATTTATTTTAATTTAATATTTTTTATTTTTCTACTCAGAATTGGTACTTTTTATATAAATAAAGAATTTATGAAATAAGACTATTAATATAGAGTAGAAATATAATTTTCACAACGTTAAAAGTGAAATGAAATATAATTATCCTTATTTATTTCTTTATTTGTTTACGCGCCTTGGCTGTTGTTGACAAACAAAGACTTCACTAAAATCAATTTATGCGTCTTTTTTACAGAAGACTTCTTTCTCAAGTCTTCTCTCTCTCTCTCTCTCTCTCTCCCTCTCCAATTTTTCATCTAATGATGATTCTTTCTTTCTTCTCTGTATATGCTTCTTTACCATCTTCAAGATCATCAACTTCTGCTGCAACAAACCCCACTGTAGCTACAAGATTTTAGGTCACACACACACACACACCAATTGGGAAAACATGGAAACAGAGACTATGCAGAGCCGTGCAAGGAAAATACTTGAAAGGGAGCTCAGAGACATCAATGAAAACCCCTCAACACACATCAGTTTTGGCCCTCTAAGTGATGACAACATGTTTCAGTGGCAAGGAATCATCATTGGCCCTGTGGATACCCCTTTGGAAGGTGTTCTCTTTCACCTTTCCATCTATTTTCCCATCGATTACCCTTTCAAGCCTCCGACAGTAAAATTCCTAACCAAGGTACTTACTACTACATCACCAGATGTTGATCATCACCATTGAATTTTGAGTTTTGATACTTATTCAAGCAGTTTAGTTGATATTAATTGGGGTTTTATCTCAAACTCTCATGTTGATTGTATTTTGATTTAGTATTGAGCTTGTCAGATCATCAATTGTTCCAAAAGGGTAATCTAACTAATTATTAGATTTCTTGAAAATATTCACCTCAAAATCAATTGGTATTGAGTGGTTGGGCCTACAAATTATATGGATTAATTTTGGGTGTTTTATGCTATGTTTGGTTGGGGGATTTGAAGGGGGAAATGAAAAAGGTAGGTAAAATGTGAATAAACCTATATTTCACATAGTTTCACACATCTTTTCCCTTTCTCTTTTCAAATTCCTTCCCAAATCCTTCAACCAAACACAGCGTACGTTAGGGAAACATTGTGAGACAAGTGTCTAATACTCCCTGCAGATCTGACTTGTTTGGATGGGGAGGTGAAAAATAAATTAGAGACACGAGAAACAAATTGGAGATGAAGAGTTAGCCCACGAGACCCCCAAGACCTAACTTGGATACCATGTGAGATTTTTTTGGAGGCAATATAGGACGAATGTTCCATAGCTCTAGCACTAACATTCACCTATTTTATTAAGATAATCAATTAGTTAGCATATTGCTTGTGTTTGATTATCTTAATAAAATTTCTGGTTTGTTTGCCTATTTGGTTGTGTTTCTGTTATTAATTTTGGAAAGTGCAAAATACTAGTGATCCTGAATTGTTGCTGAAAACAGCTCAGTTTTTAGGAAATATCAACATTTTGATTTTGAAAATGATGGTTGTTTTTGAATTGCTATATAGAAATTGAATAGTTCCAATCACAGAACAAATCACAACGCGATGTTTTCCTTTTGTTAATGTAAAACTAAAACACAACCAAACAGAGTTTGATCTTGATTTTACTTTGATTTTATTACTGTTTTTGATGGTGTGTTGGTATGATAAGCAGGTTTATCATCCAAATGTAGATGAAGATGGCACAATTGACATCAACATACTAGGAGAGGAATGGAGCCCAGCCCTGACCACAGAAAAATTGTTGCTTTCAATCATTTCAATTCTCATGAACCCAATTCTAGAAGAAGGCAATCAAAATCAAGTCTCCAATCTCTAATTTACTTTTTTTTTTTTTTTTAATCTCCCCTTGCTTGGACAATCATACCATGTGATAGTTGCTAAGCACTGAGTGCAGAGAAATGTATAGAGGAAAGCTGATATTAGTTGATTTAAAGTTTTGATGCAAATCAAGATTGAGTTAACTGCTTCAAAGTTTCATGGGTAATTCTGTCTTTTTTTAGTTGGAACTAGTTTTTTTATCCCTCTGTTTCCGGATGTAATAAGATGCATTTTGAACTATTTGAGTAAAATTGAGAAGATATAAGTGATACATATAGAGGCTTGTTAGTGTGTGATCAAAACCATTTTCTCCATTTTTCTTTTGGGTAAATTTGGGTTTGCATCCTTAAAATAATACACAATTTTCGCTTTGATTCTTAAACTTTAAAATTTCTCAATTTAACCTCCCAATTGTTGAATTTTTGTCAATGTAATCCAGCTAGTAACTGCTGTCCAATTTTCCAACAGAAATGCAACGTGGTGATGAAACTTTTCTCACATTTTTAAGTATTATATTTTTTCCACATCGGTAAAAATCCAATATTTAAGAATTAGATTAAAAAAAAATTGATAATACTTTAAAGTGAAAAGTGATTTACTGGATACATACAATCACTTTTATGTACCGCTTAATTCCAAGTGTATTTCTTTCTTTGAAAAATTGAATATGAGACATACAAAAATTATGTCGAAGTGAAGTTAATCATGTTTAAACCCCTTGGCATGATTTGGATTTAAGGTTTGCAAAAAAAAGGGGAGAGAGGAGAGAATTTTAAGGGTAATTTAGTAATTTTATGGATTTTTCTTATCACTGAGTTAATTTACATTCTTTTCATCATTATTATAAGGAGAATTTATTAGATTATCCTCTTTTATGTATTTATATCTTAATTAGTTTATAACATATTTTTATATTTTAACAAATCTTATTATTCGGACATTTGATCTGCTAAATTTTAATTATCATATTTAAGGTATTTCATAGATAATTTTATCTTTACAAATTTTTTTTGAACCTTTAGCAACCTGATGTGCACTATTTTAGACTGTCAAATAAGATTTCACTTGAATATGTAATTTTATAAAATAAAAATAAATAAATAAATTTGACAGTATAAATTTTCTCATTGATAGTATGAATATTTTATGATGTGAACATTCACATTAAATAAATTTGACAGAACATTCACACTGTCAATGTGAATATTAATGTGCACTTCACCTTATTATTATTAGGAATATTTTGATAATTATATCACTCATAAGACTTATAGAATATCAGAAAATAATTTGAAAAATATAAGTAGGTGAAGAGAGATTTATGAATAAATGTTCATTGTTGTAATTCTTTTAGATTCTGCACTAACATCTAATTATTTTGGGAAATTTTACTATACACACCCCTTGAAAGGGGTGTACATGTATCATACATACCCTTAATTATGTAATTTTCTTCTTTAATTATAAAAATTTTTCTTCTTTAATTATGATATTATTTTTGATAATACAGTTACTACACAACGGGTCCCAGGTAGAATGGGTCGGACTAATCCACGCTTCTTCAACCGATAACTGAGTGTTCAAGCCCACCAGAGAACCTGCACACAAGTTCAACAGGGGAACGGGGAGTCCCCCAGCGAACCCTCCGACGAGCAAGTTAGAGAGAGAGAAGTGTAATGTAGAGATATGAATTGGAGATAGAAAACTTAACATTCTTCTTGTCTTCAACGTCTGCTTATATCATTTGGTAATCATTTCGCCGTCCCTTCCGACCTTCCACCTTGGCCGAAAGTCTATGCTGTAGCTTACCTTGTTCAGGGTGAGGGGGTGCTGTTCCGACGGAGAGGTGTTGTCGTAATAAATGCTGTGATGGACTGCATTAATGGTGATGTGCAGTGGCAATAACTTTGCAGATCTTTGTCTGCCGATGTGGCTTGTCCTTTGCCTGCCACATGTCTAAATATCATTGATCCTTCATGTCATGTTGATTTCCAGCTGTGCTGAGCCTTATCAGTTGGGTTATGCCTTGGGCCTTAAGTGGTAGGGTTGGGTTGTTTATAGTAGGTTATGGCCTTTCTAGGTCTAACCACATCAGTAGTCCCCCATTCCTGAGTGCAGCTTTAGTCCAATGAAGGGAATAATGAGGAAGATGGGGGTTAAAGGTCGAGTGAAAGGAATGACCGACCAGAAATGATCGAGTGGAAGGACCGACCGTGAGGAGGGCCGATCACAAAGGGAGGCCGAGCGGAGGGACCGACCATGAGGAGGGCCGACCGCGAAGGGTGGCCGAGTGGAGGGACCGACCATAAGGAGGGCCGACCGCGAAGGGTGGCCGAGTAGAAGAGTCGACCATGAAAGGTAAGGTGGGTGGGTGGGCGCGGGGCTCGAGAGGCAGCGTGTCACGTGGTGATTTGAAGTGGAAAAGACAGGGTAAAGGGAGGGGGCAGTGAGTCGTGGTCGTACACATGGCAGCATCTCGTGGTGAGGTAGGTTAGGAGTTGAGCCAGAAGTGAAACGATAGGTCATTGTGGGTGTTGAAAAGACAGTTTTGGTGGAGTTTTTGAAAAGTTTTCAAACTGGCGAAAATTAATTGTGACCCTTGGAATACGGGCAAGCCTTGGGCCTTTGGTATTATTCGATTTACCTACCTCTTTGCAAAAAATCAAATTTGCAATTATTAACTCCTTTGTTGCTGACGATACACCTCTGTGACATTTTTTGAATTTCCTTGCACCCGCATCCAAAGCTATTCGTAGACACACCACAGAAATGGCCCAAGAAGAAGCTGGAATCGCCAGGGTTGACCCACTTGGGGATAACGATGCGGTGGAGTTGGCGGAGCAGTACAGGGCGGAGAGGCAAATGGAGAGGGTAGGGGAGCCGGCGGTACGATCTCATTCTTCCACCATGATGGCGGCCCCAATGCCGATAAGCCAGGTAAAGCCAGATCATTGGCATACAAAGGCTGATAAGTTGATCATTACCGCAAAGGAGCTAGAGGGGATGCCGGAGAAGTACCAGATCCCCACAGAGATAGAGTTGAAACTGCTGGAATCAAAGGAGAGGGCATCTGATGCTCGACCGGGGGAGTTCGCCTTGTACGAGGAGGCGCTGAAAGGAGGGTTAAGGTTGCCCCTCCCCCGGATAACGGTAGATGTACTGAACCGGTTGGAGGTAGCCCCAGGCCAACTAATGCCCAACGCGTGGAAAATCTTGCTGGCTTGTGCGAGTGCGTGGCCGAAGGCGAACGGGGGGGCTGAAATGACAGTGGACGAGTTTTTTGCGTGCTACAAGGGGTCAGGGCAGCAGGAGACTTGGGTTACCCTACAGGCAGCAGTAGGGAAGGGGTTGGTGGCGGGGCTGCCGTCATCGATCAAGGGGTGGAGGCCGTAGTGGTTCTATGTGTCCGCCAATGGAGGGGTTGGGGTGCGTACAGTTTGGAAAGTGCCCACCAAATCGATGGAGCCAAGACTGGGGACAGCAACAGAGGAGAGGGTGAAGAAAGTGAAGGAATGGCGGGAGAAGGAGGGGGCTAAGTAGAACGAGCTTGGGACGAGCTTGTTTCAGCCGTCAGCCTTGTTTGCGGCAAGGTTGGGTCCTTAACCGAACAGTGGAGACCTCGATCGGGCGGAATTAGAGGCGAGAAGGAAGGCACAAGAGGCGAAGGATATGACCATCCTCTCTCAAGCCAGTAAGTTCAAGGAGGCGCAGGAAGACCGACTGCATAAGCCGATCGCGCAGGAGAGGATTCGACCGCGCCCCAAATCGCTGGGGGAAAAAGACTTGGGTGAATCTTAGCCATGATCTCCCCCGATTGATCCTTTGAAACAGAGGGCCAAGGAGATGGGCAGTGTGGGGAAGAAGAAAAGAAAGGTGAGGAGGAGTGAAGGGGAGCCTGCCTTGAAGAGGAGGAAGGAGATGACGGCAGAGGAGACCCTCATAGCCCAGGAGGCAGAGGAGGAGGGAGTGGGGGAGGCCCCAGGAGACGTGGTTTCCTCAGAAATGGTGGAGGTCGCCTCGGAGGTCGTGGAGGTCATCCCAGTAGTGGTGGAGATCGCCCAAGAAGTTCAAGTAGAGGGTGGGGCAATTGGCCCTGAGCCAAGGGTAGAGAAACAGCCCCAGAGGGGTCCTGCGCCCCAAGAAGGAGGGGCCAGGCTGACGACTGCAATCTACCACGCCCGCGTGGTGTCTAGGCGGCTGGAGGGAGAAGAAGGCCCAGCCAGGGTAGCTGCAGATCGCCTTGTAAGGATAGTGGATGATGCAACCGTTCACTCGGTGGCCAGGTTCAATGAGGCTGAGCTGCTAAGGGGGTTATGCTCTGCCCAAGTGGAGGTAACCACCTTAGTTGGGACTCTTCTGAGAAAGGCGGCGGCTGCAAAGGTCAAGTTGGATGAGGCCAAGGCTCAACTTGCAAACTTCACAGGGGAGAGTGCAGGGTGGAAGAAGGCTGCGCGAAGCGCGTGCTCCAGAGGTTGGCAGGAAGCTGAAAAAGCTAAAAAGATGCAAGTGTTGGCCATTGTTCACCGCAATGTTGCCGACCGAGCCCAAGCTGAGCTGATCGCGGTCCAGTCAGAGCTAGAAGACGAACGCCGCCAGGTTGTGTTGCTCGAGTTCCAGCTGGCTGGCGAGCAGAAGAAGCTGGGGGAGGCTCAAAGGGCCTGTGCGGTCGCCATTGAGCGGCATGAAAAGGCTATGACCAGCAATGAAGAACTGCGCACCCAGCAAATCAAAGAAAATGATGAAGCAGACGTGAAGATTGCTGGGCTGCAGAAAAAGCTGGAAGACGAGCGTGCTAAGACAATGGAGGAGAGGGCGAGCCTGCAGAAGGAGTTGGAGGAGGAGAGGGTCAATGCGGCCTCTGAAAAGTGAGCCTGCAGAAAGAGCTGGAGGAAGAGAGGACCAAGGCAGCCTCTGAAAGGGTAGCATACCCCGATCTGTATGTCGCAGCAATAGAACAATTCAAGGGGTCTGCTGAATTTCAGATGGCGATCAATGCCGCGGTCGCCAGCAGCATGGCGAGGGAGGTGTCTGGGGGGGCAGGCTCGTCTGGAACGACCGCTGGAGGTAGGACTGAGGCGGAAGTTATTGAGAGCTTCCAGCGGTCAGACTTCTATAAGCGTGAAATGGTTGAGTTCTGGGACAGTGGCTGGAAAATGTTCAAGCGTAAAGCTGAAGAGCTGTTCCCAGGCTTAAACCTCAGTAGTGTAAAAATTGACGAAGACGATGTGGCCCAGACCCCCCTGGATGAGGGGATTGAAGAAGAAGACCTCG